GACGTTTAATGTTTTTTATTGTGCCCTACTCCCTGGATAAACCTGTATAAATACCCCCTGCCTTGTCAGTTCGTTCGTTCGGTTTGTTGGTTAATCTTGTGTGGATAAATCGACTTCTTCTGCGTCTACTCAGCGTCTACTACACTGCGTCGTCGTCAACTCGTCTTGGACCCAACAATTTTCTTTGATATTGATCTAACAAATAAATTTTACTTGGTGTCACACTCCCCTCGCCAGACAGGCCCGACCCCATCCCCAGCTCCCCTCCGTTACATATTAACAAACGTCAGAAAGTTTGTTCAGCTTCCGCGCCGGGGGACACCGTATTACTGCGGCGTGAGACACGTCCGATGCTGCAATGCAAAACCATTCTGTTGCGGTCATCTAACTACAGTTATGTCCGACCTTCCGCTTTGGAGTCTATTGGTACTAACCCCTTTTCACATCGATTGTTCAATACCACATCAAAGTCTGCAATCGGCCATTTTCCTTCCTGCGAGTAACACATGTAAAGGCATTGAAGGCATCCAGTCACTGGCAGCAAAGCGAAAATAGTGTCCTGCTTAGTGCAGCGTACTGGCCACAGAATATAAACTTCACTTACGCCATTCTGTTTCAGAAGATGCACAAGCAAACCATTGCCACAACCAACATCGCAAAAACGGAGCGGCAAAAGATCATTCTTCCGCCAAAACGACTGAAAATAAATCAATACGTGAGAATCTTTCTGATTGTCGCAGCTTTTGAAAGAAAACTTTTTCAAAAACAAAAAGAAAAGTGTCGTGAAAACAATTCCTTGACAGAAAAAGAATTATTTTTATTTGACAGATTTGATGAATTTATGAATGAATGAAAATTCATGAAAACAATGAATTATAAGAATTGTGAAAGAAGTACGAAAAAGAAAAACAAAGAAAAGGAATGAAAACAGTTATAAGAATTTAAAAAGAATTATTTGAAAGAAAAAGAATTTCTTAAGGTTAGGAATTACTGGCACTCTATCTCACTACTGGAATTGTTACCTACTAGCAGGTAAGATGCAATGGCGCAATCTTCATACACGAATTTCTGTGGATCTGTCCGTTCCGTCCAATTCTGTAAAAATTCAAATACGTTTAGCAACGAAGTAATCAAACAATGCTACTGGTAATCTGGACGTCACAGTAATACGACTGATGCATGTTATTCTAAGCCAAAGTTGTCGCTAACAGCAGGAATCACTATCAAAACTGGCTGGGTAAATGACGCTAAGTTCACGTTACTGAAAGTAGATTACAGTCGAAAATGCAGCAAAGTTAATATTTCAAACGAAAAAATCCAGTAGAAAATGTGGGCTGGGAATAAAATTCTTAATTTCATCTTAATAAAAAACGAGAACGTGAACATACTGCGACAATCTGCT